AATCCAGCAACAACGTAGCAATAAATAATGGAAAATTCTGGCTGGAAGTATATGTGAAGGGCGAGGGGGCAAGGGAGCTCGAAATTAAATGCCCATAGGAAAGAGAATCGGTTAGTTCCATCGTTCCAGACTCGAGAAACTAATGTGCCGCAGACTAATGGCGAAACCCTGACGTTTAAGCATTCATTCGTGATTTGCCAATATTAGGTGATGAAGCTTAGCCAGAGAAGTTCACACAGCGGTGCAAAATCCGCCCTGGCAAGGGATAAATTTATGCAAGCCAGTAATATAAGCGCTATCCTCCGTGTCCATGGGTTCATTAAAGTACATATGGGATGTCTATTGCCAACGGTTGTCGGGGGGGGGGGGGGGCTCCCAAATACAACCGTACAAATCTTTCGATAGGCCGCGAAGCTCTTGATATTTCCCGTTTATCGCGATTACAAATTTTCACGCTCTTTTTTCCCATCTGCCTTCCTGCTATTCTGCCCTCTTTCTCGCATGCCCTTCGCGATTTAAGCTTACTAAGTATTAAATACTAATGGGGAGCACGAAGAGAAGGTTTTGAAAGTATAGAATTGGTCTTCATTACGGAGTTCGATACGAAATCAACGAACCCCTGTCACTTAAGAGCAACGAAACTTTGCCGAAACTTTCTGAGAAATTACATTAAATGTGTTTTCCTCGCTCTGACAAAGACGCATCTACACACGCGGATTGTTTGGCTATGTGTATATGTTGTGCAAGGCGTAAGTGCATGCGTGCCAACAATCGATATTGATAATGAACTAAAAATAAATTACAGCGAGAATAAGAGAGAGAGAGAGAGAGAGAGAGAGAGAGAGTGTGTGTGTGTGTGTGGGGGGGGGGCATGAAGAAGAGAAGGAAAATGGAAGAAATTTGAGAATTATTCCATTAATATTAATGTCTACATACTTTGTATAGTGTTGGCGTATCATTAACATGCTAAATTACAAGATTATTTTTAATTGAACTATATAATGTATAACTATTTTAGTCTTGGAATTATGGTATTAATATCATATTATTATATTATAACCGGTTTATAAACTTTTTCACCCAATAAAATAAATCCTTATGCGATTTTTACTCGACAAGAAGTGAAAAACTTAGTTTGGATTTGGCAATTTATGCAAGATCATTGATGCAAAAACTATATAAAAATCAAATATAAAATTTAAAATATTTACGAACACTTAAAAACTATATTGTGTGATAAACAAATAAAATCAATAGAACAAGCACATTTGATTAACTTTTAAAAATCATACATAAGTATTTACATTCTACAGTCAACTAACTAACAATTTTATTTGCAATAAAATAAATATAATAAACAACGATACTTTCCATCAATGCTGGAAATTAATTTTTTTGTAACTTTGACTATAAATTGAGATTATTGGCTTCTAATTAGATAGTTATTTTAAGTATTCTGAAGTTTTCTGGAAATATTTAATCTTTATATCGACGGTAACAAAGAAATGATAAATATCATGATAAACGTAGTAGCATAAACATTAGTATGAAATGCCTAAATATAAATTGAATATTGCTTTTCGCTAATAAAACACAAAATTCTCAAATATAAGTTAGATATATGTATATATATTACTTAAAAGCTTGCCAAGGTTCGTGGCAAATTATTTGTAATATTCTAATGATATTGTTTATTTGGAAAATTTTTGTATAAACCCTCATCCCATGTGCTTTTTTATTAGAACTTAGAATCTAAAATATTCCTATATTTTTAGTCACTCTTGAATAGATTTGTGATTTTATTTTAAAATCTTACTTTAAAATTTTATCGATGAGCTTACTGCGCGTTAATGTAAAGCTTTATTAATTAAACTATATCTTTTTGCCCTATAACTTCAATATTTATCAACATTTATACGTATTGCTGCTAAAATCATGAAAATATTAAATTGTCTGTAATCTCAACTCATTGAAATTGAATAACTTTCGACAAAATAAATAATTTATAGTAAATAAATATTTATTCTCTAGACAAACTGAATAAAATAAAAATAAGCCCCATTAGTTTCAATATAAATTTAGTGTTACAAAATTGATAAATGTTATTCAATAACTTTACATACATTGATCTAATACATATTAAATAGAAATGTATAAAAAATTCATAATTCCTAATTCATATATACGAAGATGTTATGTTTTATACTAAAGTATGAATTCTTTATTAATTGTTAATACATTTTAATTAACTAATAAACTCCTAATAAACGTTATATTAAACCATATTGATTTATTTCGAATACATAATTTCAAGAATAGCATGCAATTGAATATAAAGTAAGTATTAAAATATACAATAATAAGTCGAGATAAAACTTAAAGCCTAATAAAATAAAGACAAGATATTTCCCGTTATATTTATTTTCATCGGCTCTCAACCCTCTTATCACTCCTTCTCTCTCTCTCTCTCTCTCTCTCTCTCTCTCTCTCTCTCTCACTCCAGGTTACTTACTCCGTATTTTAATCATTCTCTAGTTTTTGAAAAGAAATAAAACTTATCCTCAACAGCAAATAAGAAATGAGAGAGGCTATTATCGGACGGAACTGCTGAATCACCAATGAACGTTCGCTGCCTTTGTAGTTGGTAAAATTGCAGTGGGCTTAGTGAACATTATGTGCATGTATACACTAAATGATCACACTTCGACGTACATTTCCACCAATCTCATCATATAACGATTTTCATTTAAGTACATGATTGACATTTTTATTTATACGCAGAGAAATATTTTTCATTCCGTAAGTAAACCGTCCTTTCGATTAAATCAAATTTTCACACACATTTAATAATAACTTTTCAGTATTATATTCTGATATTAGAAATTTTATTGTAATAGAACGGACAGCGTGAAGCTTAAATTTATCGGAAATAAACGATTTTTCTTGAATCTACAATGACTAATCTTTGACAGTATTTTCTCATTATAAAATATTTTATCCCATAAATCTTCTTATTTATTTATAACGAGACTGTAACTAATATCTTAAATTTATAAACTTGAATGAGAATAGAAATTTAATTAAATAGTATTTAAAATAATAACATTTCTACTTGTTAATTATAATATCTTTTTAAAGCTGAAAGTATCTTTTATATTTAACTTTATAATACAATTATATATTAAAATTATATATTTATTAAAAGTTTAGATATTTATTTTTCGTTGAATTATAGATTACATATTACTAACATATTATAACATAATATTAATTTACTCTACAAAAATGCATGCAAATATTTATGAAAAATAGTTTCATAAGAATACAAAAATTAATTAATACATAGTTCATAGTTCGTGAACTGATCATTTATATTTTACTATTTAGAAAGTACTATTTAGTAATTAGGATGATTATACAATTTTTTAAGTCACTTATTAAACGATTATTTCAAAGATCTTTGCACATATCTTATCAAATCCTATTCATAAGAAATTCTAAATAAATTATACTTTTTACTATAAGAATATTTATAATTGAAAATTGTTTTATTATGAAATATTATTTAGTTCGATGATAATACAAAATTACTTTCTTATCTAAAGAATGTTTTTATATTTAATTAATCGGTCGGTATAACATTAGAATGTTAAGAATATAAATCAACAAAAATTATAAATATCAGTTAAAATATTAAGGTTAAGTACAAAATTAACATTTGTAATCAGATTTTTCAGAAAAAGTAAATAATATGCATTAGATAATTTCGATAGATTGACCATATCGTTTCATCTGTACATAAATAATTATTCTAACTTTTAAAATTTAGCTTTTTAGTACAGTTTGTAAAGTTAATAATTTTATTAGATAGTCTTATCATTTGATATCATTGATATAATATTTTTAATACAAAATTTTTCTAATTAGAAATTAAACTTTATATTAAATAATTTGGGACTGTAAAGAATTTGTTTATTCAAATTAATGGTATTTCTGTAACATCTTGGTAGAGAGAAACTAGTGACTTTTAACATAAAAAATTTTTACAGTTTAAACTACCAAACTGTATTATTAAGCTTAAGTTTTTTAAGCTTAAATTGATAAAAATTCTTGTAATTGTATAATTAAGAATAATTAAACTCAATGCTATAAAACATTGTATAATATTATTATTGTTTAATTTCCCTGACATATGGAATGTAAGATATAAATGCGTATAGAAATAAATGATTCCATAAAAAAAAAAAAAAAAAAAAAAAAAAAAAAA